AGGCTTAATCAAAAATCGGCGCAGTTGCAGCCGCGGCGCACACAAGCACACTAACCCGCAGTACAGCACCACGAGCAAATTGGCAACATAAATCCCTTACAAATGGTTCTGCCTGTGGCATTGCCTCAACATCGTCAAGAGTACAGACAGCGTACTCCTCCCCTAAAGGGACCATACAACCAGACAAGAACGCATTGCGCAACAGCAGGCGGCCCTCCTTGTTAATTTCCTTCTCAGCCCAAATTCGATTCATGCTGCTGAGAACGCAGCCGCCATTGGTGCTAATGCTGCTGCTGCGAGGGCCGCCACACCATGAGCTACCAGCGCCCTCCGCAGCAACAGCAGCAGCTTTCCGCTTCCTGCTCGTGCGCATTAGCTGCTGCTGTTGCTTTGAGCCGCCACCTGAAGAAGCCAGCAATCCCTGCAAGAAGTCACCAACACGATATCCTGCTGTTGCTGCTGTGACCGTTGCCCCCTCTTCACCTTCACAGCCAGGCGGCTGCTCCACCCTCGGAATGACCCCGCAAAGTTTCATCGAGCGAGACAGGGGAGTTCTGTGACTTTTTGGGCCGATTTGGCAGCTGAAAGCACCAACTGGAGATTTCGACGCTGGGTTGGCTGGTGTAGCTAGTGCATGCCCCGCAGAGTCCGCCCCTTGTGTGGCTCGCGGACCATCTATTAGCTTCGCCACAACTTCTGCTTTTGCAGGGGTTGAGGTGCAGCTCTTGCTGCTGCTCTCTGTAGCAGGCACAGTCCCGGCGCCTTCAGGGTCCTTAAGCCGCGGAGGAAGCTGCCTCTTGGGGCGGTCGGGTCGTTCCTGCTGCTGCTGCTGCTGCTGCTGCTGCAGCGACCTGCGGGACCGCAGCAGAGGTAGTCTCTGCTCCACGTCATGGAAATGCGACTTCTGCGGTGCCAGTGGTTCCTGTTCCTGCTCCCCCCTCAACGTGTATGCCTCGGACTGCTTCAGTGCACGTTGCTGTTGCAGCTGTTGCTGTTGTTGCTGCATTGCTATGTGGTCTTCATACAGTATCGCTGAGGGCTGCAGCAGCCACTGCAGCTCGTCCTGCTGCTGCTTGACAATGAAGGTGATGCGGCCTTGCTGCTTCACCAAATAACGCACCGCCGCCTCCCGTGCTGCAGCATGAGACCCGTACAGCGACAACGGGAAACAGCAGAGGTCTGCCGCAGCCGCAAACCAACAAGAAGGAGGGTCGGAAACGCAGCTGTAGCCGCATGCCACACACCACCTGTTGCAGTCGCTGCTTGTGCTGGTGCTGCTGCTGGCTTCTCCAGGGGCACCCGTTTCCCCACATTTGAATGAACTGGAAGACGTGCAGGCCTTGCTGCTGCTGCTGCCGCTTCCAATGCTGTTGCTGCTGCAGCTTCGTCTTGGCGAATCTTCGTCGCTGCTGCAGCTGCGGGTTCTGCTACTACTGCCGCAAGTGTCAGCTGCTGCGTCAGCAGCACCAGCAGCGGCAGCGCCATCATCGTCTACAGATTTCATCCGGCTTGCCTGGGCCCGCGGTGTCTGGTGTTCACCTTCCTTGACACTGCTGCTGCCCGACGCCTCCTGCAGCAACTTGATGGCTGGACAGGAACACGCGCTCACAGCGTCACATTCTGCTGAGGCTTTCTGCAGCTGCCGCTGCCGTCCTCTTGCTCCTGCTGTGGCCCAGTCAGCAGCAGCAAACGGGGCCGCAGCAGCACCCTTCAGCCCATCCTGGTCCAGCATGTTCACCATGTGCTGCTCCGGCTCAGCCCGCCGATCCCTTGACACTGAGCAGCTGGTGCTGCTGATGCTGCTGGTGCTTCCAACAGCTGCTGCAGCAAGCCACGCTTCATCCCTGAGCACAAACTTCCGCTGCCGCCAAGTGACGCAGGCCCCCTTCGTCAGGAAGCACAAGCCGTGCACTGGGGGGTACCTCTCGCAGCCCTTCAAGCAGCGGCTGCAGAGGTGTCCCGCTGCTGCTCCTGCTGCTGCTGATGCTGCTGCTGCCGCTGCATCTCTAGAGCTGCCTGCACATGCACTGTGAAGGTCCTCAGCAGCAGCAGCACTTTGAAGCGGCTGTCTACACATCTTCACTAACTGGATCCCTTCCGCTGCTGCTGCTGCATCGGGCGCCGGGCCACAGGGCGTTGCGCAGGCAAGCAGACTGTGTGGGTTCGCAGCAACAGCAGCAGCGGCTGCTGCTGACGCTGCCGCTGCTGAAACAGCCGCAGCAGATCTGATGGACAAAGAAGCTGAAACACGAGCTTCCTCAGCAGCAGGAGGTGCAGGCGCAGCTGGTAAACCACTGGCCTCGCTGCTGCTGCAGGGCAGTCCTGTTTGTTCCTGTTGTGGCTGTTGCTGCCTCTGTTGCTGCTGCGCCGCCGGCACTCCGAGAGTGAGTCCGGGTATAGCAGCTCGAACAAAGCCTGCTGCTGTTTGCATCCCTGAGTCTCTCGAGGCGCATGAAGCTGCAGCAACGGCTGCTGCAGCAGCAGCAGCAGCTGCGGCTGCTGCTGCGTGGGCAGACGGCTGCACGCCAAGCATCAGCCCAGCGGCATGAAGACACGCTGCTGCCTGCTGCTGCTGTTGTTGCATGCTTAGCCACAAGCCCCGACCGCCCGCTGCACAAGCAGCTGCTGCTGGTGCTGCAGCAGAATCTACTGCTGCTGCAGCTGCGCCTTCGGCCTTCAGAGACAGACAAGGGGCCACCCCGCGACGCAGCAGTGACGGCAGCACCGGCTGCTGCTGCCGCTTACACGCAGCAGCTGCAGCACGAACCTTTAGAGACCCAGCAGCGGCAGCTGATGCGGCAGCTCCTGCCGCTGCAACAGCAGCACCCGCTGCTGCTGCCCTCGCATCCACAGCTGCTGCTGCTGCTCTTCCATCCACAGCTGCTGCTGCTGCACGTCCTGCGTCGCTGCAGCTCGACCCGGAGCACCGCGCTGCGTCGGTTGGCTCTGGCAGGGCTGCTTCTCCCGTTGCTGCTACTGCTGCTGCTGCTGCACCAGACTGACCTCGCTGAGCTGCTACAGACTTAGGGACAACAGCACCAGCAGCTGTTGCTGCACCAGCTGCTGCGGCTGAACAGTCTGACCGGCGACTTGTCATGTCCAACATAATACTCCCTGCGTCCGTAGTAGTTGCACAACATTCCTGCTGCGGCTGCTGCAACTGTTGCTGCTGTTGCTGCTGCTGTTGCTGCTGCTGCTTCACGCGAGGCCAGGGCGACGGCGCTGCTGTTGACTCCGTCGCCGCCTCCAAGTTGCTGCCACTGCTGCTGCTGCTGCCATTGCACGCAGATGCAGCTCTGCTGCTCCCGCTGCAAGTCGTCGAGATGCAGCTGTTGCTGCTGCTGGTGCTTCTGCCGCTGCAGGGCAAGGCTCTCTGGAGTGGGCGGGGTACAGCTTTGATGCCTGCCTTTCGGCTGCCAGGAGCGCAGGGCTGCGGCAGCACAACGGCAGCAGCAGCTGCAGCAGCTGCTGCTGCTGTGGGACCCCTAGGGGTCTGTGCAGGGGGTGTGGGGCCTCGGGGAGTCGCCATGTTCACTGCTGCTGCTGCTGCCTGCTGCTGCTGCGCCGTCTCCCACCCACGCCACTGTGGCTTCGGTAGCCTCGGGAGTGCTGCATCAGCTGGAAGCACTGCAGAGACAGAAGCAGCGGCATCTGCTGATGCTGGTGCCCCTGTTGCTGCCAGTGAACACAGCGCAGCTGCAAGACTTTGTTTCGGGAGAGCGCAGGTTGTGTTGGAGCTGCTGCTGTCTGCTGCACTCGCCTGCAGCCGTGGAGATCGTGGGCGAGCCCAATGCAGCGCCAAGGGGCTGCCCTTGATGCTGCTCTGGCGGCGTCTTGCCGTGTTGCAGTTGCTGCTGCGCCTCCTCTAATGAGCCAGCATGTTACACGGGCCTCTGTGATTGCTGCAGCCGTTGCAGCAGATGAGACCAAGTTCATACACGTAAGCCCTAAGAAGCCAATAAAAACGGCAAGAAATACGTGCCCCCGATGAGGGAGGGTGTGCGCCTGCTGAGGTTGCTGTTGCCGCAGCTGCTGTTGTTGTCGCTAAAACTGAATCAAGCTGAGCTCGTCGGCGCAGCAGGAGCCAAGGAACGACAAAGGGACCGGTAGAAAAAAACTGGAAACGGCAGTACTTGCAGATGCTGCTACGTTCGATGTTGCTGTTCCTGCTGCTGAAGAGAGCGCCGCCGCGACGCCTCAGGACAGCGCAGAGCACAGATGATGGCCTGAAGCCTTGTAGCAGTTCATTCAAGAATCAAAATGTAGATATAACGATAAAAGCAACGTCACGAGGCAACAGCAGTGGCAGAAGCCTGCCTTCTTCCGCAGCAGCAGCACCACCCCTCCGCCAGCTGCATCAGCAGCTGCAGCGCAGCAGCATGGCAGCAACTGGAGCAGCAAGAATACACGCTTGAGGGGATGAGTCTGCAACAGCATCACAGTACAAGCAACATTAGCAACAAATTGATTTTTTTCTGGCTGATCATTAGCGGCAACAAGCCGCAGGAGTCTGCTGTGCAGACTTTGGGGGGCCCGTCTTCCCTAGGGTTCGTTCCCAGTGCTCAGAGGGAGGCTAGAACGTAGACAGAATAAGGCCCCAGGAAGCGGCAGCAGCAGCATCAAAAGCAACAGTAACAGCAGAAAGAGACAGCTGCTGCAACTAGAGCAGCAGCATTGCTCTGCTCCCGAATCCAGGCAGTCTCCAGAAACGTGATAGGGAACACAGTATCGAAAGTCACGTCTCTGCAGACCTGCAGCAGCAGCAGCAGCAGCCTCCAATAACAGCGCAGCAGTACCACCCCATGGAACCCACCATCCTAGCGTTCCCACCCCGCCATTCTTAGCGCATCAACAGCTGCAGTTGCAGCGAACGCTGCAGCAGCTACTGCAGCAACCGCTGCAGGAGGAGCAGCCACTGCAGCAGCCGCTCCAGCAGTCACTGCAACAGACATTGCAGTGGAAGCTAAGGATATTTTCCGTGCAGTGACGGTGAAGGTGCAATGGTTTTGCCAACGGCAGCGCACGTCGTCTTCGTGGGGGGCTTCAGAGCCCCATGTTCCGGTGCCGCATCACTAAGGCGGTACATTGTGACAGCAAACATAACAGCAGCAGCAGCAACGGCGCCCAAAGCTCCACTCGTGAGAAGCTTCTGCTGCAGCGAAACTGACTTGCAACGCCATGGATTGAACCGGAAGGACCTGCTCCTTGCATCGGGACTTAGCCGCAGAGGCGGCATGCAGCAAGTGCAGCAGCAGAAGCAGCAGCTGCGGTGGCTCTGCGCGAATGCAGCTGCATCTGGGCGAGCTGCAGCAGCAGCAGAACTGCCGCTTGCAAAGGTGCTATGGCAGCAGAGATGCTTTCTGCGCCGCTCCTTCTCGTTGCAGCAACGAGGCAAGCACAGTAACGCCGCTCAGCAAGAAGATCCACTTCCTGCTGCAGCAGCGGCAGAAGCAGTCCCAGCAGCAGCTGCTGCTCAGCCGTCTCAGCCCTCTGAACTCAGTGCTGGAGTCCACGAGGCCCCAGAGCTGCCTCCCCAGTACCGTGCAGGCTTTGCTGCACAGCCGCCTGTGAGTTGCTTTTGGCTTTTTGGGGCTGCTCAGGAATATTGGCGGCTGCTGCAGTGGCTGCAGCAGTTGCTGCTGCTACTGGGGCCGCTGCTGCGGACTCTACTTGAGCTGCGTTCGTGTTGCTGCTCCCGTAGATCCTCGTGACAGCGCTGCTCTTTGCTGCTTTACGGCATCAGTCGCTGTCGCTGCAGAGTTGCAGGAAATTGTGCTGCTGCTGCTGCTGCTGCTTCTGCTTCAGCCACCACCGCCGCCTCCGACTCGCCGCTGGCGCACGTGGATGAAAGTATTGGTGTTTGTGGTGATATCGGTTTCCCCCGTCGTTGCTGCCGTTCTTTTGTTCAAGTCTCTGTTGGTGCAAAGGCAGGAGCAGCAAACGGAAGCAGCTCGTGCTGCAGCAGAGGAAGACGCAGCGCTAAAAACGGCTCAGCAGGTGAGGCTGCAATAGCTGCGTGTGCCGTTTTTGTTGTTTCTACTAGTGCAATTTTTGTTGCAAGTTGCTCAGTTTATTTTGATCCGGAAGTAGGGGAAAGGAAGAAACAGCTGCAGAGACGTGAAACAGCAACAGCAGCAGCAGTGGGGGAAACAGCCTCGTTCTTGCTCTGTCTGGTCGCTGCAGATTGTCGCCAACTCCCTGTCATGCATCTGCATAGCAGGAGGCGCAAAAGATAATCGCATTGTCTCAAGTGCGCTGGAGCTGTTGCTGCTTCTGCTGCTGCTGTAGCTGGTGCTATCTGGGTTTCTGTATCTTATTGTCGACTGTGTCTGCGGCTGCTGCTTTCATTGCTGAAGCTGCTATAGCTGCTGCTGTTGTGGCTCTTTTTAGAATTGAGGTTGCAAGCTGCCGCATTAGTTGCTGCTTCTGCTGCTGTTGGTGTGCAGCAAGCGTGGACCCGCACCTGCCTGAGAGTAGGGTGCTGCGTCTTCCGACGAAGAATTTAGTCAAAGGCATGGAGAATAATTCCTTGACATATCTAGTGGCGGGTGGGGTGAAACTGTTTAGTGTTTAGTGTGCCTTCTTTCTTTTACTTGCTGTGTCTACGTCCTCTCACGTGCTGCAGTATCCCTCCTGTGGCGTTATTTTTGTCTCAATTTCTCAAATATGCTGCTTTTTTCCTACGCTTTTCTTTCATTCACGTCCCGTTGTTGTGTGCTTCTATTTCTTTGTATCTTCAATGTCATGTTGTTTGCTCCGTTTTTCACACAGCTTCGCATTCTGGAGCTTCTTATGTGTTTGTGAGGAGATATGTTCTACTGCTTTCCTTCTGTCTCGTCAGTCCGGCAATCTGTAGAGTTGTCTGTCTGCTCACTTGCCTGTCTCTGTTTATATTTGCTAGCCTTTGTAGCTCTGGAGCTGTTAGTACACATGGCTGTGCAGTTTTGTTCGTGCCTTTGTGGTTGCTTCATACTTTCATTTCAGACAACTGCTCTTGATGTATTTTTGTGAGCCTGTATCACAGTGCTTCTGCGCCTTGTGGGTTTATACATTTCCCTTCTTTTCTCTTTGCTTATCATTGCTCGTCTGTTAATCTTCTTTGTTGAGCTTTGTCGACTGCTGCATCTCTTTCCTGTCCTTCACCTTGTGTCTCTTTTAGGTGAACGCAGTTCCTTCAGTCTACCCTTCAACTTCATTCATTTTGCCGTTAGTGCCTCCAGCGATCTCTTCGAGCAATTCAAGGCTGGAAATCCCCTTTCCCTGCTCTACGTTGATACGTCTACGTGAGCTTTCCATCACGACCGGCAGAGGAAATTGCAAAGGCAACAGAAACAGCAGAAGAGGCGAGATCCAGCAGCTTGGTTGGTCGTCAAATGTAAATAGTACTAAGTGGATGTGGGCCGTGACGTTCACAATAATGAAGTGGTCATGAATGCTGTTTCGGGCGCACTCAATGCATATGAATGTATATATGTATATGTGTACACCAATGCGCGTACTTCATGGATTCACATATTTGTTTCACTAAATACACAGCGTCCAAGTTTGTATGTTCCTTGTTTTTCTTCCTCAGGGGAGACAGTGTGCTCTTGACAGGCGTCGCTGCGGTGGTTGATTTGGATCCGTACAGGACGCACTACTGGCGAAGCTCATGGTCATCCTCAATACCAGGTACGCAAATGCGCAGGAATTTAGAACGGAATTGTTTTGTAAGCATGTTTTTACGTCAAGGCGTGCGTATATACGCCCAGGGATCTTTGCTGCAGTACCAGGTTGCAGGGAGATTTAGCACTGAAGACTTGCCCTGTTTACGTGTTTATCTTAAGTGCTGCATTTGCTGTGGTGTCCCTGCACAAACGTGGGCATTAATACGCGTTTCGTATTAATGCCCACGTTTGTGTTTATCAGGCGTGCGCGTAGCTGTGAGAACACTATGTAGATTTTTGTTTATGCAGCGTACGTCTTTGTACCGTGATAGTCGACTGTATAGCGCCTAGTTTTCTATAATATGTACATGTATGTGCGCGAACGTGCGTGCGCTGAGCTTTGTCTCATTGTTGTGTGATGTTTGTGCTTTAGGGGGTCGGACAAGCGCGGACTACAAACTTGTCAAGTTTGTGCCCAACTCAATAGCCATAGATTTGGGGCTGAGGGGCCCCGCAAAGTGGCGGCCTATCCGTCTATCTCGCTTGATAACACAGGAAAACATACAATGGAAGCTAGACAACGCCCCTCCTGCCCTCATATCCTAGCTTAACTGGCGCTAGTGGCGCTTACAGCGTTTGGGGCCATCAATGAGATGGGCAGGGAAGAGTTATGAGCTTTATGCTTTAGTTACAACTTAGTTTAGTGTCTACATTGTTCTACTTGCCCTATATAGGGCTCTGAGGGCATTTGGGGGCGGTTTAGCCGCCCAATTTACGGAGCCAACTGTCTTTCTGATTTGTCTTCTTGGATTGAATTTGCGAATGCGTCGGGCATTGGCATGTTTTGTAGCTGCATTTGTATTTGCACTTTAATTTGTATGTGTGAAAAATTTGTTTGCTGTATTTTCTCACGCCCAAGAAGGGTGGCCTGGAAGCAACAGAGAGTGGGACGCCACCAACAAACTAGATGAATCCTCGTCGGGGGCGTAGGAGAGGCCTCTCCCGTTACGCAGGGACCGCCCGATCTCCTGCGCATACATAGCAGTGCGGCTACTTTAATGGCTTGCAGTCGGGTTATACAGTCGGTGAAAATTAATCTTGAACACCGAGATCCCATCGTTCACGCTGTCCCACTCGGGACCACTGTGCGTACGTGCGGACGTGCATGCTTCGTGCATGCTTCTTCATTGTAAGGGATTGAAGTCAGGAGTCAACCGCAACCACAGTAGTAGAGCAGAGCCAGGTCATCGCTCATCTGTAGTGCTATAACGTAGAATGTTTGGCTGCATGTTCAGTGGGCCTCCGCGGCGCTGTCCTCGGGCGTTTGCCTTTGGCGTATGTGTCAATGACCATTGTCGTGTGGCATCGTGGGTGTGCGTCAGATGCTGAGCCGGTTCGTGCTTCATGTTTGTTCTTGCGGTGGCCGTTTCCCGTAAACTACGAGGTGGGCAAAGACCGGTGTGTGCTTATTGTTTAAAGTTAGTGATATGAACCGTCGCTCTAACTTACTTGTATTATAATGTGGGCAGTGAACTGCGCGTGAGAGGCGGGGAAGTGGTGGACAAAGTTCGGAAGGGCTCGCAAGTGGATGTTGGGATAACGCAGGGCCAGGAACCTGAGAGGGCAGGGACTGCACGTGGAACTTTTTTGTATCAAGCGCAGCTCACGCATCATGAGTCTTCACTTTGCCTTGTAGTAAATAAAACTGGAGTACATACTGCATAAGTGCAAATTATATTTTGCCTGCACCAAGTGTGCGGTGTATGTGCTTGCTGGTGTCCTCCTGAACTCTGCTTACCCATGTTGCCTGAACTTCTAGAAGTGCGCTGCAGCTACACCAAGTGAGGCTAGAGCCTTGTGATCATTATGGCGCAGCAAGACTTCTTACGTTGACCGTACCAGAATGTATCACTGTTAGTGAATTGGGGCCTTCAAGCTGTTAGCTCGGGCATCTACTCACCTCGCTTGTCTTATGGGGATGACGCCGTCGGCTGTTCCGTGGAAGAGGCTGGCACGCTGGCCTCGCTGGCGCAGTAGCTGGAAGGTCATGTCAATTCTATCTTGCACTGAAGAGATAAAACTTCGTGTGTGTGAGTGATGACACTAAGGGCGGCAGGTGCACATAGGATGTGCGTGAGCAGTTACTCATGCGCTTGTGCGAAGTGAGCCCTCTACAAGCTGAGCAGGGCTGCTAGGGCCACATATCCATGGCTTGACAACCCATCGTTGCATAAGCAACATAGAAGAAGAGAGCTGTTAGATACGGGCTGACCTATTGAACGAATGGTGCCTGTGAGGGCATCTGGATGTATGCTGAAGACGTCTGCGACAGAGAGCTGTGGCAGTTCTCCACGAGGCACTATTCGAAGCACCAAGGGCTCAAAGAGGGGTCGCAGGATAACGCCGAGGCGCAGCATTAACTCCCCAAAGTATGGGTGAGCAACTGTCTACAGCATGAAGATAACCACGGCAAACCCGAAACAGCCACACAAAGAAGTCCACAAATAAAACCTATGGCACGGTGCGTTGCATAGGCATGGTTACGCTATGCTCGTGTCATATATCGCAGTGGGGACAGCTATGCCGCGAAAATGCCGCACTGGCGAGGGTCATGCGACTCTAAACAGGACACGCGCATATTTGTAAAGCAATGCCAATCCCGGTGCACGTGAACTGCTGCTCGTTTTGACCATAGGATGTGGGCACAACCTCACGAAAACACTGTATCCACGTTCGGATTGTTTCGTTAAAGGGTTCGATCAAGCAGGCATGGTCTAGTGGCTATGACGCTCGCCTCACACGCGAGAGATCCCGGGTTCGATCCCCGGTGCCTGTAATTTCCTACACGTTATGGGCACGCGGTTTGCCAATTAGCAAAAGTGCAACCTAGCGTGGGCTCTTTGTCATAAACAACTTTTATATAACGGTGTACAGCAGAGCAGTAGTTCTACGTAGCTCTGTGCTGATTAGTCCCAGCAACAGCTGGGAGTTTCTTTGCTGTTTCACAGTGTGTTTACTTGCATAATGCTTTAAGAGACTGATGAGGCTTTGGACCTGAAAGGGCTTACATGTGCCGCTGGGAAGTGGGACGCCGTGAGGATCCTCATGGCTTGGCGCTCAGACTCGAAGTAGGCTGGAGCCAACAGAATGAGAGTTGTCACAAACCCAGCCGGCAACATCTCGCACAGCTCAGCAGCAACGAGGCCTCCGAAGGAGTGCCCGACCTGCAGCAGACTCCGAGCAGCAGGACAGCTATCACTTATCCGTAACTTTCGGCTCCAACCCTAGGAGGAACCTTATGTACCTTTAGTAGGCTTGTTCTATTGGTCGAGTACAACCATCTAGTGCAGCCCAAAACAAGCAGTTACGTGATTGCATGTACATGCCATCATTTTTGCCAATGATATTGATGCAATTATAACAAGTTACTCACCAAGTGCACAGAAGTGAAGCCGTTCGCGACAATCACATCCCTAAGGATCGCCTCTGCCTGAGAAGAACCACACTGTGCTGTCGCACAGTCCAGCAGCTACACAACGAACGAGGCCAGCTACCCACCGAAGACAGCTGGCATCCTGTATCCAGTGAGTATCCCGGAAGCTCCAAGCCGAGGTTTTGAACTGGTGTTGGCTTTTTACACGCTTTGGGCTTAAAGCCAACGCTAAGAAGATATCAGGGAAGCAAGAGGCCACTGCTTCTGTCAGTCCGGAGGCACACCTGTTCTCTTCTGGAGTAATTCTGCGTTGATGAGACTGCGGCGCTCTTCCCGTAGCCTAGAAGATCCACGCAGTAAAACGTGTACCGCCACCGCTCCTGGGGATCCTCGTCATGGGGGGGGAACTGCCCTAAAACGCCCCCATGATGGGAAACCCCCTTACGAGCTCCGTTCTCCGAGTCCGGGAAGAGCACGCGGATGACATCCGCAAAGAAATAGCCGCTCATACATATCCCGTGGATAAGAATCACCTTCTCGGGACCATCCCCTGAGAAACGAGGTGCATATACAGCAGAATAGATGGGGGGGGGGGGCCCTCACAGCTCCGTTAGTTGCTTAACAAATAGAGGGCGTGCATTCTTTTTCGTGGCAACGAGAATAAGGCAAATGGGGTTAGGAGAGGGCTGCAATTGCGTGTATTTCCTCCTCCAGGCACCAAAAGGAAAAAAGCTGCGCAGTACAAAGAAGTCTGCCATGTAACATTACGCAGTTTGCCGTCGTGTGTAACATGCACAACGACGTCCAACAACGACACCAGCCACAACAGAATAAGCAGCAGTATCCCATCCAGCAACAGCTTGCTGCTGACCAACACGGCTGTAGTGGAGCCTCTGGTGTTGATTACAAGGAGCTTCTGTGCTGCGCTGGTGCTGCCCCGAGGACCGTTGTCTGTTGCAGTGGGCGCAGTCCACAGTTGCCTTGACCCTGCTCAAGAAGTCCACGGCCACTTCCGCCACCTCCAAAGCCCGCACCGTTTCCGCGTCAGGCAGCGCCACAGACGGAGTCGCACAAAACGGATGCAGCAGAAGAGCAAAGCCGTCGTAGGGGGGGTCCAGGGGTGACAGCCGCTGCCGGCGCCCCACCCTGTCTCGCCCACGGCCACTCCTCTGGCGGCTCCGCCGAACTCGAAAGTTCACAGCCCCCTTCCACCCCTCCCCGAGAGTCCCAGCAGCCCCGAGAGCCCCCGATCCTGATGGCCCACTGACACGAACGCGTCCCGCCCCAGAAAGGGGGTCTGGGGGTGGGGCCTGCAGGCTCCAGCGTGCGCTGCAGCAGCCGGCGCGAGTTGAAAAGTCCCAGCGACTAGCCCGCGCAGCCAGAGGCCACTGACATGCGTGGGGAAGCAAAGCCAGGCAGTCGCCGCTCAGCTGAGACACTGCAGCGGCTGCTGCCTCCCCAGCAGCTTCCGCATCCGCTCGTGCGTCCTCAAAATGACAGGGAGAGGGGGAGGCCGGGCTGACCCCTGAAGCTCTGCAGCTGCTGCTGCCCAAAGCCTTGCTCGGCAGCAGCAGCTGTTGTTCAGGCTCTTCTTGCTGCAGTCTTTGTGTCCTCGTTGTGGACAAAGTGCCTTTTGTCAGCCTCTGCTGGGTGAATGTGGGGGATAGTGAAGAGGTGCATTGGCGCTGTGCTGCTGCCTCGCAGCAGCTAAATGCCTCTGCTGCTGCTGTGGCAGCAGCAAGGTGGGGAGAAGGTAGGGGACTGGACGAAGGGGGGCCTTCTGCCGAGTTCGGGTTTGGTCGTTTCCTATGGCGACGGTGAGAGGCCGCGCGGGAAGGGCTGCGCTGCCGCTGCTGCTGCTGCTGCTGCAGTGCAGCAGCGGCAGTCTTCCATATCTGCCCTCGGCTGCAGCGCAGCCCCAGCAGCCGCTTCCACCCCCACCAGCTGCGGGACTGCTCGTGCTGCTCTTCTGCTGCTGCTGCTGCTGCCTCCAAGTCGGCCAGCAAAGGCAAATCCCTCAAGTCCAGAGACCCAGAGGCCAGCAAAGCACACACATCAAGGGGGTCGACTCTAAACCCTTTGTGTTCCGCCTTTTGTAAGGACCCCGTGGGCTTGGGTGGCCCCTCAGGGGCCCCATGAGGGGCCCACTTTGCTGGGGGCCCTCGAGCGCTGG